CGCTATTGAACCGCAAGATCAGGTGAGTAAATACAATTTATAGTAAATCATACTTATATACTATCTTACTAATATTATAAATGCGAATGTTTGGATGGATGGATGTTTGAATGTATATCCAGAACGGTTGCATTGATGTCGATGAAATTTAGCACACATATAGAACATAGTCTGGAAGAATACATCGCTATATAAATAAGTTTTTTTTTTAATTCACTGTTAACTGCTAGGAAGTACTTCAAATTATAAAGTTTTCAGATTTAAATTGTTAAAATTTAACAGAACTATGTACTAGCAACGATTAAACGAGGCTAAAGTTCGTGGTAATTTCATACTAATGAATCCCTGAATGAGGAATTAAAAAAACTTAATTAGTGACCTATGTGTTCTTCCAGGCTATGTTCTATACGTATGCCAAATTTCATCGAGATCCGTTCAGCCGTTCCGGAGATACCTTCAAACAAAAACATCCATCTATCAAAACATTTGCACTTATAGTATGAAATAAGATATCCGTGTTAGTGTACGAGTACATAGGTACATATAGTCGAACCTGGATATGCGAGAATCGAAGGGACCGCGAGACTTCTCTTGCTTATAGAGGTGTCTCTCTAACCTTAGTTTCTTGCTTATGAAGGTTTGATCACAGTGTAACTTAATTTGTATACGTAGGTAGTTTTAAACTTTCGTAAGTTTGTAAAACTTGAATAATTCCATCTAATAAAATAGGCCTAACCCAATCTTATATCAAAACGTTAATTAAATCCTTAACATCTAAAATATTCCTACAAATCCCAATAATTTTAACGAGGGTAAATTACTTGTTTGAGTTATTTTGCGAATAAATTATACCGCAAACAAAATGCCTCGCCCAACAAAGTTCATCGATCTTTATATCTTACAAATATTATAAATGCGAATGTTTAGATGGATGGATGTTTGAAGAACGAGAACGGCTCTCGATGAAATTTGGCAAACACAAAGAATGTAGTCTGGAAGAACACATAGGTTAATTTAGTTTTTTTCAAAGTCATCACGAACGGAGTCACGGTCAACAGCTAGTATTTCATAGAAATGCATAACTATAAATTCGTTCCACATATTTCATTTTCATTGTCTTAATTTTTTTTTTATTATCAATATAAAATCTTTTTATTACTGGCAACATTCCATCAATATTTCTACAAACCGATTATCTTGGTATTATTTGTGTTTATACATAAATCTGAATAAATACAGTCCAATATAACTCGTACGTATCAACCGATGAAGAAAAAGAAAAGAGAATCTCAAGCGAACAGCGCTTGAGGCAAGGAATTTTTAATATCCTTGGTTATTTTCAATACATACCATTCATGTCAACTCCAGTTTGCCTACATAAAGAATAATATTGGCCGAGCTTATTAAATAGGTTTTTTTCTGAGGAAAACTTTGATTTATGGCAACATTATTAATATTCCAAACTTTGGTAGCAACTTTGATTTTTGGTATAGATCGAAGATTTTACTTTGACTAACTATTGTTTATTGTCGCAACTCTGTACGCTCGGAATTAAAAAACATAATAAGTCTATATGTTCTTCCAGACTATGTTCTACATCTGTGCCAAATTTCATCAAAATCCGTTCAGCGGTTCCGGAGATACCTTCAAATAAACATCCATGCATGCATCTAAAGTTACGCATTTATAATATTAATAAGATGGTTGTGTTTAATATCAAAAAAGTGTGACAAGATGTGTGTCGTTTCATATATCCTACAATTTAACTGACCCAATGGTAAATTCAAACTAAATTGTGACAGCTCACTAGCGCCTTTCACTAAATCCTTTTACTATAGTCGTTTGCCGCCAATTTGTCATGTTTTTTTCTCTTAATTGCCCAGAGAAAGCTTATTCCATTATAATTATTATCTACAACTTTGATTAAAACACAAAAATTTATACTAATCAAAGAATAATTTTTAATAAATACCAAACGGTAACATCTGTGTACAAAGATTCAATGATTTTTAATCTATGATATTTCGAATGCTTACTCTATGATATTTTGACTGTTTATTCTTTGATGTTTTTATATTTCGTAATTTCAAATTAACTTTGCATTTTCTTTTCTACCTTACTTTGGTTAAGTAAATGTTAAGTTCTTTGAAATCGTAAAGTGATATATATAATCAAAATTATTGTTGAAGATAACTTCAAAATGAAACTTAGTTATTTTTAATTCATAATATCGTCTGCGTTCATGTGAGTTTATGAAAAATTCTTAACTTTTAATTTTAAACACAATTTTACCTTATCTTACTAATATTATAAATGCGAACATTTAGATAGATTGATGGATAGATGGGATGGATGTTTATGGAAGGTATCTTCTGTACAGCTGTCTTTCTTTCTAAATGTATAAAAATGTTTACAGAGTGCAGTCGTCGGATCCAGGGTGACTCTACCCTGTAGGGTGGAAGGCAAAGTGGGGCAACTGCAATGGACCAAAGATGACTTCGGTTTGGGAACTCATAGACATCTCACTGGCTACGAGAGATATAAAATGGTCGGAAGCGATGAAGAAGGTAAGACACTAACTGATATTTGAGTTGGCACGTCGGGAAGGAGTGTATTCTTATGTTTGACGTGCCAGCTCAGGCACCGTTTTTATTATTTGCCAGAGACTAGTTTTGTAATCGATGTATTGCGGGAATTTAATTAATTTAATTTGTATTGATTGTGTTTGGGTAAATTATTTTGATATTAAGATTAGAATTTGTATCCTTTCTCTTACTGAAGAAGACATTATTTTCTTAATCTTTTCATCATGTTATAGTTGGAAAAGGCGTGTTGTCGCCCTCGACCCCGTCCACGCGGAATTAAAAAAAAAAACTTAATCAGTAGCCTTCATGTTCTTTCAAACTATATATATATACCAAATTTCGATCGATACAGCCGTTCTGGAGATACCTTCAAACAAACATCCATCCATCTAAACATTCGGATTTATAATATTCTTATTAATATGATTCTTCTCATACATGTTTGAATATCAGTCTGCTATGTACACGAGTTTGTTAATTACACGTGAGTAAATAACATAATAAACGGTTTGTATATAGACATTTAACGTTAAAGCTTTAACATTTTAAGTTAGTAAGACAAAGCTAAATCTAAAATTATTACACGAAACTAAAATAAGCCAGACAAGACTATCGTGTTCGGAGTGTCTTGCTTCCTTAACTATGTTGACTTTGTGCTTCTCGACTCGAGGATTGTAATAAAAATGACTCATATAATATGATATTAATTTCACTAATATCAAATGAAACTAGATATATTTACATTGTTAATTAATGGCTTAAGTAATCTTCTTTTAGAAAAAAAAATAACAGGTTATGTTTGAAATAATTAGCTAAATTTATTGAAACTGTTTAAGTAATATAATAAGTTAAGGTTACGGATTTCCGATCACGAGGTCAGGGGTTCGAAACCCGCCATTCGACTATTGTAGTAAACCATATCCTAGCACAAGCCTAGATATTAATTGGAATGGTAAAAGAAATACTAGTAAATTTACAAAAAAAATCTGCTAATATTTTATAAAAAAAAAATTATAATTGTGAATGTTTGGACAGATGGATGGATGGAAGGATGTTTTTTAGAAGATATATCTAGAACGTTTACATGGATCTTGCTTAGGCGTAGCCTGAAACAACACGTAGACTACTAATGAAGGTTTTTTATTGTTACTAGCTGTCGTCCGCGACTCCGTCCGTTCGGAAAAAAAATCATCATTAGTAGACTATTGGTTGTTCCAGACTATGACAGATATGTATGCCAAATTTCATCGAGATCCATTCAAAAGTTCTGGAGATACCTTCAAACATCCATCCATCCATTTCATTCGCATTTATAAGATATTGAATTAATCAGTGCTTGACCAAAAACTCAATTCAGCGTTGACGGAGTCGCAAACGACAGCTAGTTTCAAATAATAACGGAAAGAATTCGAATCCACTACCACATTGGTAGTCTGTGCGTCTAACTATAAAGCTATTGGAACATATGTTTACGTTATTCAGTTTGAAATCTTTACCAGTCTTTTGTTACATTTCATTTCATCATCATCAGCTCTCTATACGTTCCCACCGAGGGGCGCAGAGCCTACCCTAAGTTAAGGGTGATTAGGTCAACCACGCTGGCGAAGTGCGGGTTGGTTGACTTCACACATATATTTGAATTTTTTCTCAGATATGTGCAGGTTGCATCACGATGTTTTCCTTCACCGTAAGAATGTCGGATAAATGTACATATGTAAATCGGAAATCGAAAAACACATTGGTACATGGCGGGATTCGAACCAAGGACCTGCAGATTGCAAGTCAAGTGCTTGACCACTGAGCCACCGACGCTCACATTTCATTTATTAAGAATTTATTTATTTATTCATATATAAACTAAACATTAACACTAAAAAAATGTTCCTTGATATGCTATCGACAAACACCCACACACGGTGTAGTGAGATTGATAATGGCGCCTAATTTATTTTTAACAGACACCATTTTGAATATTAATTACCCTCATAAATGTCCGAATATAGTATAAGGAAAAGAATAATACGATATACAGTTAAGAAATCGATATAAAAAAGAGGAATTTCAACTACCAGTATCGATTTGGAATTCCCAGACAGCTTTTGCCTAAAACATTTAGATTTTCTTTGTAACAAACTAATAAATATCTTACTATTAATACTATTATTGTTTGTAAATTTGGTATAAATATAGAACAAAGTCTGGCAGAACACATAGGCTACTAATTAAGTTTATATGCTACTATTTAACATCTTCGCACGAATTGGCCAGGTTCGCCCGGTGAAATACCACCACCACACAGAAAACAGGCGTGAAGTGGAAGCAATTCCGCGTTTCGTCTGATGAGTGTGCGTCCCGGAGGCCTAATTTAGTCCTCTTTCCCTTCCCACCCCTTTCTTATAAGGAAGGGATGGGAAGAGGAAGTGGACTTTCCGGATGAGAGGATGCATGGAAAGGGAAAATATTTTCTTTCTGTACATCCTCTCCTCCGTCGATTAAAGGTAGGCAACGCATATGCAATTGCGTTTGTCTATGGGCAACGGTCACTTTGCTACTTCAGCGATTTCAGGTGGCCACTCGCTCGTTTGCTACCTTATGATATAAAAAAAAAGTTTTTTTTTAATTTCGCGCAGACGGTGTCGCGAGTCGAGTACTACATACATCTGCTTAGTAAAACAACTGTATTTCGCTCGCAAATTTACATCAAATAATTTGTTATTTTGCAGTTTGATTCAATCTTATAATGCTTTTCAAATAATAGTGTGCATGTACGCCATATTGTGACGTCATATATTTCAAATCGGAATGTCCCTGTCAATAAAACATCTTACACATTTTTATTTGGAACGTATTATATGGGTACATTATTGTTTTGTTCAGTTAACACATAACTAAAACATATTGTTATCCCTGTTTTCAGTGTTTCAAAGGTAATGACAGGGATGAAAATACGTTTTATATATAGAGAGTAGCTGTCGCCCGCGACTCCATCCGTGCGGTATCAAAAAAAAGTTAATAAGTAGCCTACATGTTTTTCTATACTATGTTCTACATCTATGCCAAATTTCAGCGAGATCCGGAGATAGCTTCAAACATACGTCCATCCATATAAACATTCGGATTTATAATATTATTAATATTTTGGTCTCAGAAACCCACGGTTAGTAATATTTTTTTCTGTTCACAGGCGATTATTCCTTGGATATCAGAGAAGTTGCATTGGAGGATGACGCTACATATCAATGTCAAGTCAGTTCAGGTCCTAGGGGTAAGCTATTTTATTTTTTTATAGCAAAAAAACTATTTCTAGAACTAGTAACTGTCTAGTTAGTGATGTGGTCGAAGGATGGCATATACTAGCCTATTCACCCTAATCTTGAAGATGCCCACGTTATAACTAGGCGAAAAAACAAGCTTACACCTAAGCAACTTATTCCAATCCTTGAAAAAGTTGTGATATTATTTATTTGTTATGCGATTTATTTGTCGAATGACATCACCATTGCTAGTACATCAGAAGTAGGTCTAAAAAGAGAAAGGTAGAAAACGTTGAAGATGACAACAATAATTAAAATCTTTGGTGGACTAAACCTGGGCCGTTTACCCTAACCGTCGGGAAGATGATTACGTTACTGTCTCTTACTGTGGGTTTCCATTGTCGACACCCTCTTATAAGTATATACTGTCATCCCTTTTATTCTTATTAAAAAAAGTGAAATAACAAACTAACGATGTACTAACGCGTAGTCCGGTGTATCAACTTGTTTCGGGCCTATTCACAACATTTATATATTTTTAATTAAATACTCCCTTTTTTTTAGTATTTCGAATAAGGTAAATATTCAATATATGAAATAAAGTTATCTTTATCAAAAAGAGATATTAGAAAAATGTTTCTTTGATATCGGTTAAATAAAATATATAACGTCCAAATGATGTTCAAAGGGAAATAATCTGACGTCGTGTTCTAGGATATTCCTTTGAGGGGATGCCTGAGGAATACTTATGTACACAAATATTTACTTGAATATCTTAAAAAAAAAGTTTAAACAGGTGTTAAACAAAGGGAATAAGTAAGGAATGAGTATAGCATCATTAGCTCACTGTATGTCCCCACTGAGAGGCTCGGAGTCTACCTTAAGTTAGGGGTGATTAGGTCGTAGTTATATAAACTAAGTATAGTATATTAGACAAAAGATACGTAATTGAGTAAGAAATTTTAGCGTAGTATAATGCGGAGAGATCTTACAAATATTATAAATATGAAATTTTAGATGGATGGATGTATGTTAGAAGGTAACTGCCGAACGGCTGAAGGGATCTCGATGAAATTTTTGGCTGAAATTTGGAAGAACACATAGGCTACTAATTAAGTTTACTTTTAATGCCACCCGGACGGAGGTCGCTGGCGATAGTTTAAAATAATGTTGTGTGTGTTTACCTAAAGAAATAAACACTTATACGCTTTACAATCTTACTTCTTACTAATATTATAAATGCGCAAGATAAGATGGATGGATGGATGTTAGTTTGAAGGTAACTCCGGGACGGCTGAACGGATTTTGATGAAATTTGGCACACATGTATAATAGAACATAGTCCGGAGAACAATTTTAATTTAGCGTTGACGGAGTCGCAGGCGACAGTGTTTGCATAGATTTGTTCAGGATACTTTTAAAAGCGCATATATTTTAGCATTGTTTAAAACCAGTAGTCTCTCAAAGCGTCGGTGGCTCTTGCAGGTCTTGGGTTCGAATCCCGCCATGTACCAATGTGTTTTTCGATTTCCGATTTACATATGTACATTTATCCGACGTTCTTACGGTGAAGGAAAACATCGTGATGCAATCTGCACATATCCGAGAAGAAATTCAATGATATGTGTGAAGTTAATCAACCCGCATTTGGCCAGCGTGATTGACTATGGCCTAGTCACCCGTGACTTTGAGTAGACTCCGAGCCCCTCAGTGGGGACGTATAGTGAGCTGATGATGATTTTTTTTTATATCATAAAGTGGCATACGAGCGAGCGGCCACCTGAAATCGCTGAAATAGCGAAGTGACCGTTGCCCATAGACATACGCAATTGCATATGCGTTGCTTACCTTTACTCAACGGAGGAGAGGATCCACAGATTCCCTTCCCATGCATCCTCTCACCCGGAAAGTCCACTTCCACTTCCCATCCTTTCCTTATAAGAAAAAGGATGGGAAGGGAAAGAGGACTATGTTAGGCCTCCGGGACGCACACTCATCAGACGAAACGCGGAATTGCTTCCACTTCACGCCTGTCTTCTGTGTGGTCATGGTATTTCACCGGGCGAGCCGGGCCAATTCGTGCAAAGATGTTAAAGCGGGCTCTACCACTGTTAAAATGACGACTCACTCTGATGATGACTCAGTTTAATTGTTAACAATCCGTCACGCGTCCCTGTCTACTAATATCTCGAAACAGTCCCCTGTTTGGTAATTGTTTTTTGTCCCTACAGTTTATTTAGGGTTATGAGGACAACATGTGCGGGGACTTAGGGTTGTTATGACCGAGATTTATTAGACAAGTTTTACTTGCGCGTTAAATTATTACACTTGTTTTAATTATTAAGATAAATTCGATGAGTTATTTTGATAATTATATTGGGATTTCATCGTATTGATACTTGAAGCTAATTTGTAGTCCTTTTAGAATAAGTGCGGGGACTGATGCAATTTGGTATTTGATTTAAAGTTAATGAGCAGAAGTGCAGGTTTATTTATGAAAAAGAAGTAATAAATAGTGTATATTATGGTCAAATTTAGTCCAATGGGAGACCACTAGCACAAATAAAAAGTCTTACTTACTTAAAATGTGGAATAACATTAAGAATTATCCTAGAGCTCATCTAGCCTATGTTTGAAGGTTAAACTTGGTTACTCTAGTGTTGCAGATGACAATGGGGTTTAGACAAATGCATTCGCTTTTAAGCGATTCCATAACGAACTTCAAAAACGTTAGATAAGCCACGTGATTGTCACGCGTCATTCCATACATTTTTGAAGTTCGCTATGGAATCCCTTCGAAGCGAATGCATTTTGTCGAACCCCGCATAGGCGTCGTATTAACTGATATTAGGCCATCTAATCGTTTGCCCTTATAAAAAAGAAATGCGTGTTTTTCATATTAATAGTTGAAAATATTTATACATTAATAAGATATTAGGACCTCGGATATATCTGGTTTTAATAACATATTTCTAATCGGTGTTTCGTTATCGTCTTTATTATGTTCATCATCCAATTGGTCGAATGGTTTGAGCGTGAAGAAGTAAGAAACATACAAACACACTCACAAACTTTCGCAATTAATATTAGTGTGATTGCTACAGTAAAGAGTACGCAGGTTCGAAGTACTTTTTGAAGTGGTACGCAACAAAAACTAATTGAGAATCACTGTGTTAGATTATTAGGTATAGAATATTTTATTAGGTTGCACTTTGTATATTTTTTAAAAGGCGACGCCGAGTTGCCAGTAAGCTACCTATCTAATAACTGTGTAGCATTAAAACACAACAAAGTCATTTGCGTTTTTTTAATCTGTGAAAGAAATGTAAAAGACTTTTCATTTCGCAGCCCTAACTTCTGTTAATTACGACGGACAGTCGGGGAGAGGTGACTCTATAAATAAAATGCTTTGAATACAGAGAAATGGACTAAGCACAACGCCGACCTTTTACTAAATAAACTCTGCTTGTCACGGGATTAATGGCAAATACATGTCCATGGTAACGCGTAGACTCAAGAATCAACACACACGAGCACACGAGTAAATTTTGTAATTATTAGAAGGGAATGAGCGTTTTGGTGGGTCCTGTCTCTTTATAGTCAAAGATAGGATGAGTCACGCTCGACTTTGTAAATAAAATGTGACAGTCGTCTCATAGCTGCAGTCTTTGAGACTGAAATAATATCATTTGGCGAAACATTTTCTGGTATAAAAAAGTTAAAACTTATTTTATGTTCATATTTCAGTTTTACCTCTAAAGTATATTCACATTTTTTATAAGGTCTGATGCTAACGGATTGGAAATATTGTAACAGTGGTAGATTGCAAGTTCATCAAATCATGATGTCTTCTGCCTTAAGGTGGCACAGATAAGTTGAACACAAAGTATATAATTTGACTCATAAAATCGTTTTTCATATGTCTTAAAAAACTGTAATTATTATTAAATATTACAAAGAGCTATGAGATGTCCTGCATGTCCGGGACTGGGTTGGGACGGCGCTGAATCGTTGAAAGTTGAGACGCTGCGTCACTCCAGTTATGAAAGATTTGGTCGCGGACGAGAGCGAAAGCGTGCCCGTGGCCCCGTCCCGATGCGTTGGAGGAACAGAGAGATTTAGTGGGTATGCCTTCGCTATTGAGGAGAATCCCACATAACTACCGCGTCCCTCTCGGGGCGCGGAGTATGCATAGAGCATTCCTCTCTAGAAAAAAAAAAGTTAAGAAAGATTTAAATAATTTTCGTGTTAAAGTCAATAAAAATCTTCTAACAATCGACTTCAAATACGTAAAAGTATAAATATTATGAGTGTAGATAACAAACATTTTCAAAGACCAAACAATTTTTACAATACTTTTAATGCACGCGTCAACTTCACCTTAGCATAGAATGACTAATAATCAGTTAGGGAAGCCATGAAAAAGTTCATACAATGAAATCCTAACCGTTTTGAAACCCGAAATATGACAGGGGGAATGCCGTTGTAGGTATAGTCGACAAATGAGATGTGCCCTTTTAACACTGAATAATTTAAACATCAATTTAGTAGACATCAGACATAGACTTTCTAAAAATAGTACCAACTTAGCTATGACTTAGTTACCATGTGTTCTTTGATATTTGCTGCGTTTGAAAATATTCTTCTTGCTACAAATAAAACAAAAACTGTCAATTTTTTTTTCATATTATTACAAGAGCTATTTAGTTTCTTTTAAATACGTTCATTTTACTTATAGATATTGCTTCATAAAGGTTTTCGGATATTAGTACTAGTCCCTCGGCTTTGCTCGGATAAGCAAATTATTTCTTTGTTGCTCACTGAAAAAACTGGATTTAACCTCTATAAATAATCAATTAAATCTTTATTAAGAGTAGTCGTTGAAGATTCAATGTTATTTTGTCTATTAGCTGTCGCCTGCGACTCTGTCCGCCAGGAATTAGACTACTAATAAGTAGTCTATGTCTTCTTGCAGACTATGTTCTACCGAAGATACCTTCTATAAAACCAT